ATTTGTCTCTTGCATCCAGGGGCAATCATCTGTCTCTTGCATCCAGGGGCGATTATCTGTCTCTTGCATCCAGGGGCAACCTCATGTCTCTTGTATCCAGGGGCGACCTTATTCTCTTGTATCCAGAGGCAATAAACTGCCTTTTGCATCCAGGGAGAGTCATCTGTCTCTTGCATCTAGGAGCAATCATCTGTCTCTTGCATCTAGGAGCAATCATCTGTCTCTTGCATCTAGGAGCAATCATCTGTCTCTTGCTTCCAGGGGTAATCATCTGTCTCTTGTATCCAGGGTCAGTCATCCATTTCTTGCATCCAGGGACAATCATGTGTCTCTTGCTTCCAGGGGCAATCATCTGTCTCTTGCATCCAGGGGCAACCTCATGTCTCTTGCATCCAGGGGCGACCTTATTCTCTTGCATCCTGGGGCAATCAACTGCCTTTTGCATCCATGGGTAATCATCTGTCTCTTGCATCCAGGGTCAGTCATCTGTTTCTTGCATCCATGGGCAATATTATGTCTCTTGCGTCTAGGGGTAATCATCTGTCTCTTGCATCCAGGGTCAGTCATGTGCTTCTTGTATCCATGAGCAATCATATGTCTCTTCTGTCTCTAACTGGAGGTAATTGTTCCATGTGCGATTACCTCTGAATGGGGAAGGACAGGTGTGGCCACTGTCACCCTATCATTGCTCTGTACAGGTTGAGGGGCTGCAGCTTTCCAAGGACACCTGCAGCAAGAATCCACAAATTCTTGCCCCAGGAATCCTGCTCCGGAGTTAAACGCTTTGTGCGAATAAGGCCTGATTCACCTGGATAGTAGACATGTGCAATTCGTTTTGTTACGAATCGAAATTCGTACGTATTTTCCTGAAATTCATAAATTCGGAAGCATCCGAAATCCGAATTGCAGTTTCCGAATTATATCCGAAATACGAAATTCCGTTAACGAATTTCGGATCCAAATTTCTTTGAAACAGGAACTAATATTACCCCTGTAAATGAGGTTGAACAACATGACAAGATTTTTTTTTAAATCCGAAATACGGATCCGCTACTGCTGAGAGTTGCATTACAAGACAGGCAGGAAATACAAAATTCCGTTGACGGAATTTCGTTCCGTTACGAACATTCGTTATATATTGAAGTTAAAAAGCAAAGTACATTTGTTAATACTGGAGTTGATGAGTTTTTTTTTTTTTTATCCGAAATACAAAATTCGGATCCGGAATCCGTTAACGGAATTCGTATTTCGGATAAAAAAACAACTACCACATCGACTCCAATATTAACAAAGGTATTTTTGCTTTTTAACTTCATCATAACGAATGTTCGTAAAGTTACGAAAATGTGCCGAAACTAACGAAAATTCGTATTTCGTACGAATCCGAATTGAGTTTCGGACACGAATTACGAAATAACGGATATTCCGAAACGGAACGAAACTAAACAAATTTTTTGACGGCGCACAAGTCTACTGGATAGTGACCTGGATTCACCTGGATACACCAAGTAGTTGCAAAGATATGTACAGTATGGTTAACACATGCCAAAGCTGCAAAACCAGGTTCAGGCGTTTAGGTTTGTTTTTAGTTCCATCAACACCTTGTATTTTTCATGACAAATTGGATCTTGGTTAGGCAGTACATTTTAAGGGCTAGCTCCTGATTTTGTTTCATTATTGAAGAAAAAAAAATTGTGAAAAAATATAATCGTGTTGAACTTCAGCTGTATATTTCTTGCTGTTATCATGACCCACCACCAAAAAACAAATAAAAAAAACAATTCTCCTACTCCTGTTGTGCATGAGGATACCACATATGTGTGCGTTATATGTTGTTGGTACTCATAGTTGGTGAGAATGTTGCCTTCAGAAAGGGCAATTAATCCAAATTATGGATTCACGGGCGGATGGACAGGTTTACTTTAAAATGTACAGTGTGTGTATGGTCAAACCCTTTCTCTTTAGTTTTGCATTACGTTCCGGAGGATTAAAACTCATGTTGGTTTCCTTTCTCTGTTTGTACCCCACTGAGGAGATTTCCCTTGTGGGGATGTAACAGGAAGTAAAAGGAAATCTCTCTGAAGTGAGGGAAATCTCCGCTTAGACAGTTGTCACTAGGACACGTGTCCCCAGTTGAAGATTTTCCGCCTACTCCTTGCCGGTCCCGGGATCCGCTGTGCCCGATGCGGCCGGGACCGGCACGGCTCTGTGACAGGAGATCAAAGGGAGTTAAGTACACGATCTACCTTTGATCTCCTCTCAGCCCCCGAATGCAGGAAGTGATGTATATTACATCACTTCCTGCATTCAGTGTCACTTTCCAGCTGCAGAAGCTGATGAAGCAGATGTCTGCTTCATCAGCTTCTCTGGGGCTCCCTAGGTGACATTAGGGGTCTTGGAGACCCCTGATGTCTCCATAAAGAGGACCTGTCATGTAAATTGGCTATCACATAGGGGGCTTCTTATCCCCCCACGTGATAGCAATAAAGTTGTGTAAAAAAAAAAAAGTAATACAAAAATTAAAGAATCATAAAAAAGTAAGCATTAAAAAAACAAAAAAAGTCCTCTTCCCCCCACATATACATGCAGATATGCGTCGGGAGCGCCTACGTGCGAAAACGATTGCGCCTATTGTGCCGCACATGTTACATATAACCGCGAATGTCGGAGTGTGAGCAATAATTTTAGGGCCATCAATCACTGATAACACTAAACTGATGAGCAGTAAAAGCGTTTTAAGCGTCGCCTATGGTCAATTTTCAGTGTGGTTGTTTTTTGCGATTTTGCGGGCGCACGCAATTTTAAGGCTTGACATGTTTGGTATCTATTTACCCGACGTGACCCCGACTTTTATGTTTTACCAAAAATATGGGTAAGAGTAGATGTTTTATAACATAACGTAGGGAAAACATTTTTTTAATTGAAATTTACGGTACTTTTTTTCATTATACAGTAACCCCCCCCCGCAGTGGTGATAATATACCTCCAAAAGAAAGCTCTAACTGTCCCCAAAATTTGTTTAAAAAAATTGCAAGGCTATAGTCCGGTCATGCTGACTGGTGACATTTTTGACTGACTGGTGAGACACCCTAAAATTTTTCAAGCCCTGTATATATATATATATATATACACACACACACATACATTTACACATTTTAATGTGTATCAGTGCTTTCCAAGCAACCTCTCTGCTTTTGAATAACAGCAGCAACAAAAAAAATAATGAATAAGGATCCATTTATATTCTTTGATGCCCCTTATGCCGTGTGCCAACCAATGCATTGCATTAAAGCAGCCAGTTCAATTGAATGGGCTGTCCAAAGGGCCCATTCGGACCTTAGCACCTCGACGCGTTAGTGCATGATTGTTGATGTGTATTTTTACGCTCCTTGACATGCATTGTGCTACCTCTGTCGATGCACCAAAACCTCCAAAAACATAGACGTGCACCATTTTTGGCAATACAGCGCACCACAGACGTGCATTATCATGCTTTGTGGTTCACTGCATCATGTGTGTGTTGGAGCTGCATTGCAATGCTGTGTTGAATGGCACTGCAATTTCATAACACAACATTGCAGTATACAATGTTACACGCATTAGGGCGTTGCTGTGCCATTCATTTAGCAGCAGCATGCGTGTTTTGGTCTTTTTCACACCAGAACGCACCCAAAAAAAGTGCATGTACCATTTGTGGAAGCACAATGCACCGCAATGCACATCCAACAGCGAGCTGCGTATCGCACCAACGCAAGTAACATGCACTTTGGTTAGTGTGAATAGATTTAATTGGCCCCTTAAACAAATCCCTTCCCTGTGTTCTGTAGTATTTGATGTCCTCTCACACTGGGGGCCATTCCACTGGTGTCCCCAGCTTTCAGTTACACCCTGCTATCCTATCTCAGTTATACCACCACCCCATCCATTCCTCATGAGTTAAACTGCATGCATGACCCTCTCGCGGCAAGAAAACATGGACCCGCCCCTCACCGGGCGCCTACCCACAACCTGCACGGCTCTTCGCCTTCCTACATGTTTGCTCCGTCTCGGCCGCCGTGGTTGCTAGGACAAACATTGCGACAAGGGCCCGCGTCCCGTTACCTAGGAAACGGAAAGATGGCCGCCGCGGACACACTAGAAGCTTGAAGGCAGAGAACAGGGGTGAGTCTGACTTCTGGGACCCCAATAATTGTGGGAGGACAGGCAGGACACGTGATACTCCTATACCTTACCTGTACATATTTATTATGGAACGAATAGTGATTCTGTGTGTGTGTGTGTGTGAATGTGAGATGTCACTAAGTGCAGTATAGAGATTGCCAGACAAATGTTTACATATGTGTTTGTGTGTATGTATATGTGTATGTGTGTGTGTGTATATATATAACATGTGAGTAATGTGCTGCGGTGACTTTCGTTTTGAATGGCACCGCAATGCACTCTAGGGTATCAGAGTTCCAATGCACATGTGTTGCAGTGCACCACAACGCATGGCAATGCACTACTGTGCACTGCATTGCCCAAAAATGGTTCATGGTATATATTGTAAAGCGTTGCGCAAACTGTTGGCACTATATAAATCCTGTATTATAGTAATAATAATAATGTCTTTTATAAGTTTTATATGTTTGGCAGCCCATTCATTTGTCTCAGGGTAGCTGGCCTTGGGTGGGGGGAGTATAAACTGGTCCTTGGATTCAACTGAGTACTTGAATACTTCTTGGTAAATTCCCGTCCACCGTGTGATGGAATCTGAGCTCGGCGATTGGCCACTCAGGCACAGAGCACTGCATTGTGGGTGAGCAGCAGGCACATGTGTTCTATACCTTGAGGTGCTGTAATCTTTATGCAGCCATGATCGAGGGCAGCTCACAAGGGTGATGTCTTTATACCCAGACATCGAAGGGTGTCTGCTACACTACAGTGCTGGTTTATTTTTTTCATTACAGGTGCCCTTTAATAATGTTTATTTGTTTTCATTTCAGGATTAAAATGCTTGGACCAGTTCACATGAGACCCCTGGACCCCAATCCTTTCCAGGGTCTGAATCGTAACACTTCAGTTAAACGGGTACGTCTTTTTATATGTTGTTTATTCTCCTTCTTAATAAATGTGCAAACAACTGACAATAGGCTCAGTTCTCAAAAGTTGATTTTTACCCATTGTATCCAAATCTATAATCACTGCGGGGTATTTTTATAACAAAGTCACATAACTTATTCATCCAGCAAAACTGCATTTAAATTTATTGTGTGCGAGTTAACCAGCTGTTTTGACAATGGGGCAAAATTGAATGAACTTAGTGTAATTTCTTTTCTGGTCGAATGTTCTTCAACAGGTTCATTCATACAGAAAGGGTGAAAGTTGAAAATACCTCATTATGGCCACTAGATGGCGCTGAAGGATCATAAGAAAGAAATACATGTTAGTAAGGAGATACAATGTTACAATTCAAGAGAACGCTGGAGGGAATTAGGCCGGGTTCACACCTAGGCGGCAACGTTTTTGCACATTTCGTACGTGCATGAGCAGCATGCAGTTATTTGCGCGTTTATGCGCATTGTGTACATTTTTATACGTGTACACGAAGACTCGCGTTTTGACTGGCAGCTCATGAACCATTGTGGGCAATGGAAGAAGGCGCGTTTAAACGCTTACGAAAATGTGCATCATGCTTCTGACTGTCACAGGTCGGCTCAGTAGATCGTGAATTAAGCGAACACATACCGGCGTTCGCTCACTTCTCGATCCTGTCACGGCTCTCTGCCGTGACAGGGGAGGGGCTGGATTCCCCGCCTCCCCGCTCCGATCCTCCAGCGCTGGGGGGTACAGCTGGCTCTGCCTCTAGATAGGTAGAGCCAGCTGTCGCTCACGCAGCTGGGCGGATCCAGACATAATTGTCGGGATCCGCTTCAGCTGCGGCGTCTCAGTATACTGCGAGCAGCTTGCGGTATACTGCGGCGTCTTAGTATACCGCGAGTTGTAGCTCGCGGTATACTGAGCTTAGGGTGACGGGAGGACGCTAGTTCGTGTCCTCCCGTTACCCTAAGGAGAACTATGGGGAAAAGCCCTAACCCCATAGTTCTCCTTTAACTGCCCAAAGAAGCTCATGTACCTTTTCGGGTCGTTTGGCTTTTTCCTGCTGGTGTTTTTCTGCTCAGGTGTGAACCAGGGCCATTGAAAATCATGGGATTTCTTGCATTGGGCATTTAAAAGTGCTTTTCCAACTGCTCAAAAACTCCTAGGTGTGAACTAGGCCTAAGAATATAAATGTGACCATTGATACTATGGAGATAGTAGCGGTTACATGTATATGCTCATTCCCTCCAGCGTTCTCTTGAATTGCACCATTGTATCTAAGATTTTTATTTCCTGTGATCCTCAGCTTTATCTAGTGGCCATAATGAGGTATTTTACAAATTAACACTTTTCTGTGTGAATGAACTTATTAAAGTCCATTATAAAAGTCCCCAGCACTCGATGATGTGTGCAAGAAGTAAAGCACTTTTTATTGAACCGTCACATGCGTCATACAGCCAACGTTTCGGGGCCACGCAGGGTTCCTTCTTCTGGGCGACATAGTGACGATTCAATAAAAAGTGCTTTACTTCTTGCACATCTCATCGAGTCCTGGTGACTTCTATTATAGACTGTATGGTGACACGGCGCCATCCGTGTTGTCACTTCAAGCACCAACCTCTTATCCAAGGTCTGTACGCTGTATGGAGTGCAGGTGATTTCATATTAGCAATTGAACTTGTTAAAGAACATTCGACGAGAAGAGGAATTACACTTAGAACGTTTAATTTTGCCGCAATCTCACAACAGTACACAACACATTTACATGCAGTTTTGCTGGATAAATAAGCTAATTGATTTTTTTATAAATAGACCCCACAGTGATTCTCACCACAGCTGGTTGACTCACTTTAATCTTCTTATATTTGAATCTGCCTCCCTGGTTCCTCCTTTGCCTCCATTCCTCTTTGATGTCATCACTGGGCCTTTGTGATTCTCTATCCAACGCAGGCAGATCATGGCTTGTGGGAGGGGCTGGCAGGGTGCTGTACATAGCTTCCTGAAAACATCACAGCACCTTGCCTCAGTACTCCTCCCAAGAACCCTCAGTTCTAATGCAAGTCGTGGGCTGGCTCTTGGGAGGAGTTATGCAAATATCATAATGCCTCAATGGGTGGATGTCAGTCTGGAGGAGTGGGTGTTCCTAGGCAGACTACATTTGCATGCACAGTGTCCTAAGTAATGACCACATATGATGCCGAGCCTCTGTGATTGAAAGAAATGAAATCCAATGAATGAAAGGGGCGGGCCAGGGACAGCCAGGCTGGGAAGGGAAAGAGCTAGATTATTATGGACATCCTCCAGCCAGGAAGTGAGGCGGGCTCTATCTGACTTGCTGCAGCTTCTAATGCACATTGTGAGAAGCTCCCAGTGTGCAGAGGAATTAGAAGAAGCCATTACAGTCCAGGAGAGGAGCCGGTACAACTGTGCAAGACTGAAGGGGAGGGCGGAGGTCAGCTTTAAATAATGTGTTGTGTTTGATGTCTTATCTCTCTGTGTTGCAGAGAAATGTCTCCTCTGAGCTGCAGTCCCGATCCATCTCACGCAGGAAAGTGAAGGAGAAGGACAACATCCTGGGGTTTGAGGTCCATCGGTGTCTGCAATGGCAGAACTGGGAGCTCGGGAAGGAGTACACCAAACATCTCCTGCTGAAAAATGTCCGCCTGAAGACACAGAAGATGAAGTTCAGGTGAGGGTTTATTTAAATAGAAGTGAATAATCTCTGTTCCAAGGTCCTGGAGAACACTGAAAACAGGATTTTTTTGTTCAAGCCTATCTGAACACAAGAACAAAACTTTAATGTGCTGCAGCTTACTGGTCCCTAGATGTGGAGGCTGCATTAGTTTTCTATTTTCAGGCTTTCTTCCTTTATTATCACCTGGTGATCATGCCAGCAACACATTTCTTGACCTAGGGTGACAACATTTATTTACTATACTGTATCTATGGAGGAGCAGTGTTGTCACCCTAGGGCAGGAAGTGTTTTAAGAGAAGTTGATTGTTAGGGCTCACATGCACTTTGATTGAAAGAACGGGAATCCAATAAATGAAAGGGGCGGGCCAGGGACGGTCTGGCTAAGCAACAAAAAGGCTAAATGATGCTGGATGTCCTCCAGCCAGAAATGGGGCGGGCTCTGTCTGACGTGCTGAACTTCTAATGCCCATTGTAAGAAGCTCACATTATGCAGTGAAATCAGGGGAAGCAATTCCAGTCCAGGAGAGGAGCCGATACAAATGTGCAAGACTGAAGGGAAAGCTGGAGTTCAGCGTTGAAAGAATTTGCACATTGAGTCTATGTTCTTTTAGAGCTCAATGACTCAGAAGGTGTTTCTTTTTTTATCAAGTAAGTCATTTGATGGAAGAAGTTGACTGGTTGCTACTGGCAATAAAATCAGTTTTACATTCAGAGAGTTTCATTCAGGATCACTACTCTAATAATTCCAGACTTCAAAAGCCAATAACATTTTGTTTTTGTCATCTCACAGCCCTCCTGCCACCACCTTCTTCAGGACATTGTTCCCTCAGATGGTCACACTGAGTGCCGGGACTTCATTCACCCTCCCCATCACCTTCCGACCCCTGGAGAAGGTACTGTCTTCTGTATAGTACTGATATATACCATTGGAGAACCTTCCACTTAAAGGAAACTCTTCATGAAACAATTGGAGGGGCTGCCATTGCTGATCATTCCTTCAGAAAATGCTATTCGACTGGCCATCGTCATGATGCATTGGCTTTATTTTTTCTTGGGTCACTGACCTTAAATAAGTATGAAGATAAAGGATTCTGACACATTTATTTACACCAGGTATGTTCTGATATGTACAGATATTTATACCAGACACCACCAGACAACAAGCATTTTATAGAAGGAGGCGAGCAATGGCAGCTCCTGTATTATCCCCATTACAGAGAAAAATCACCAACAATTTGGGGACATGATCCATAGTCACATGTTCTGTGCTATGGTGCCATCTTGTGTTGGAAGGGAGAGAAGCATACCACGATTGCTGTGTATGTATGCATTGTGGAATTCCAGTGAATATTCTGCAGGTTTGTTCAGCCAGGAATTAGAATTTGTTCACATTTTCAGAATAAATGGACTGTATTGTAATTTGCACTTTTCCCGTACGGGATCTATATGGTTTAAAAGTACTTCTATAGTCAATGGATCACCCTCTTTAAAAACCACATTGCAGAAACAATACACATGCAAATAATAAACATGTATGCAGTACAGAAGTAATATGTTCTGGCATCACCCACTCCTCAAAGATTAGAGACGTAGAGTCCCAACTCCTTGATTTTCAGTAAAACTGTTAACGTTAGTTCAGAAATTTAGGTGATAAAATGAAATTCAACATAAATAATTGAAAGAATATGCAAAACTAAAACCTTTTTTTGTTGTTTTAGTTTTGGTTAGAGTATGAAAGGGTTTGAACCCCTTTGAGGTTTCTTTTCGCTGTCTGGGTCCCCACTGGGCAGATTTAGCCTCTATTTGTCCTGGTGACCATTGCCCCCGATGCTGGAAGTGATGGGAAGTCACAAATTTTGGGTTGTCACCAGAACAGAAGGTGAGGGGAAATCTGACAATGGAGACACATGTTCCATTGGGGTTCCCGCACTTTGCAGAGATTTCCCAGCAGACAAAAAACACAAGATGAAAGCATACAAACTGACCACGCGACCACAATAGATCTGCTTCCATGGTTAGCATGCTCAGACAACTACAGGAAACCAAGGTACCTGGCAGGACCATCAGGTGTCTAGAGTGTCTTTAATTTATTCTATAAAGTAAAGCAAACATTATGTGGATTATAAGGGGAAAAGCAATTTAGTCCCAAAGTCATTAAGGTTTACATATACAGTACTTTAATATTCTGAACTTCTGTTTTACAGCGTGATCATGAAGATTCAATCACTTTTGAAACAGATGACGGCATCTTTTCTGTGTCCTTACAAGCTGCACTTCCACGCCACACTCTCACATTTCCCGAGGAGCTGACCTTGCCTATGTGTGCCGTGTTTAACTCATCAGAGGCCATGTTTATCCTGCAGAGCACATGGTAAGTGTTGTCATTCTAAACAGATCACTGCCTATAAATCACTGATCTAAATGTACAAATAAATGGAAGTTGTAAAAAAAATGTTCGTTTTTAAAGTGGGCCCTTCAGGTTTGTATATGTTACAAGCTCAGGAACTTCTGTTTGGAGTGTTCCCAGGTTCTGAGGTATGGTCACCAAAAGGTGTTGATCTTTGTTGTTACTAGTGTTGGGCCGGTAGGCATGGCCTCATCTGTGGTGCAGTTTAAGGAGTGCCTTATCTTTATTAGAAGTATTTCAAGTAGATCCCATTGCACTCCTGACCTGATATAAGCCAAGATAATGGGTGGGTGCTGAGATGACAGTGTATGTCTCTGCAGATCAGTATCACGCAGGGGCGGATCTACCGCCGGTGCGGCCGCCCCGGGGCCTGAGCTCAAAGGGGGCCCAGTATCCAATATAACACAGCCCCGGGGCAGAGATGGGGGGGCCGCCGGTGTCCGGCCGTCGAATACCATCAGATCAGTATCCGGTGGGCCCCCCCATCTTTGCGCAGGGAGTGTCCGATGATCACATTGGTGTCCGGCAGCCGGGGGGCCCCCTCATCTCTGTGCCAGGAGTGTCAGATGATACGACATTCCCGACGCAGAGATAAGGGGCCCTAACGAGCGCCGGATACTGAGGAGGGAGCCGAGAATAAAAAAAGCCGGCAGGCACTTCAGGGGGCAGCCCTGGGCCTCGGCCGTGAGGACCCAGCAAACAGCCGCCTGAGTACGCGGGCGCGCTGTCTGAGATGGACACACACACACACTGGGGTGGTTTTCTGCAGCCACCCCCACCAGAAAAAAGCCAGAAGAGGTGAAGGTAAGTTATTAAATAAAATATTATTATTTTTTTAGCCCAATTGATGGCATTGCTGTATAAAGTACTGCTGGTATTTGTAGTGCTAAATAGCAGGTCCCATTCTGCATTGCAGCAATGCATAATGGCACCCTTTATAGAGGACTACAAATCTCAGCAGTACTTTATACAGCAATGCTATTTTTCCATCTTTTTTTTGTGTGTGGTTGCTACAGGGGATGTGGGTTGGGGGGTTGCACCAGGGCCCTTTGTTCCCCAGGTCCGCCACTGGTATCACGTAGAAGAAAAGTCAGTCGCACTACAATGAGAATTTCAGTCAATGTTCTTTATTGACAAAAGAATTGTCACATCGTATAGCAACGTTTCGGAACTGTATAGGTCCCTTCTTCAGGCAAACAAAAAAGACACTTGGTTTGCTTGAAGAAAGGACCTATACGGTTCCGAAACGTTGCTATACGATGTGACAATTCTTTTGTCAATAAAGAACATTGACTGAAATTCTCATTGGAGTGCGAGTGACTTGTCTTTATCAGAGACACACACAAAGAAGCTTGGGTCTCGCTATGTGATATTTGTGGTTCCCCACATTTGCCCAGTATTTAACCAATGGCAAGGATACTATAGACTGAAGCAATCCAAGAACGTAGGTAAAAGGCAAGGTGCCAGAACCAGAAGGGCGAAGCCAAAACTTAGGAAAAGGGACAGAAGCCTAGGAGCCTGAAATCAAACACAAGATTCACAAAATGCAGGGGCTGGTGTGCAGGAAACACAACTCAATTCACCTGTAATCCCTCATGAGAGGAATCTTTATTTGCTTTGATAAAACCAGATACAAATGAGGAGAAGGCAGATGCACTGAATGAGAGACGGGTGCTGGCTAATAGGCAGAGTTGGGGCATAGCCCAGGGGTAGGGAAAAGAGTCAGCCACTTTGGCACTTCAGCAGGAGGGGGGGCACAAAAAGGGTAGGACCTGCAACTTATGTTGCCGCAGTAGTCTGCACCTCATGTGGGTGGGTGAAAAGGGCGCACATTGGCCTTTTCACCCTGGGTGCTAAAGGACCTTGTCCCGGCATGGCTAATAGATAACAGAAACAGTCCATGAAAAGATACAGAATGAAGCTATTCTGCCATAATGGAGAAAATGCACACAGGTCACAGCTAGAGCCCTTACAAACTGGACACGCGTTTGGAATAAATAATTCTCTATACTTAGGCTGGATCTGTGCTATAAATCAAGTGCTATGCATTGTTGAATGGGTAACTGGTATCAAAATAAGGCCACGGGCTGTCTTTCCAGATAGCAACCAGTACTTGTGCAACCCTGTCATATCACCATTGCACTCTTCTTAATTAATTACTACTATCAATTAATGTAAAAAAAGAAAAAAAACATCTTGCTTGCCAATGCTTCTTTATAGAAGTTACTCAGAGCAGAGCTGGGCTTCATTAAAGCTTTACTAAACCCAAGAACAAATTTAATATAGTGCAACTTACTATTCCTTAGATGCGGTGGCATCTGTTTTAGTGCATTAGTTTTCTTATTTTAAGTCTAAAAACATGCCCTGTAGCCCTGTCTAAAAAATTTGTCAGGACTGCAAGAACCATGAAAGGTAGGAAGAAAGGTAATTAAATACACCAAGAAAAGAACTACTGTAGAGCAAATATGATTTAAGCAGAAACTTCCTGTACCTGTTGTGCATGAACTCTAAAGGATGAGCCATTATTTTTATAACTTGCTTTGACAGAACAAGTAAGTAATACATCATCTGTGGTATTCATACCGTGTTTCCCCGAAAATAAGACACTGTCTTATATTTTTTTGGCTCAAAAAAAACACACTAGGTCTTATTTTCGGGGTAGGTCTTATTTTTTTTATTTTTTTTAATGTACAACAATGTACAATTATTCATGTAGAAAAGTCTACATGTATTCATGTACATAAATATGGTGATCAGGGCAATCAGGGGTGCCGTACCTTTCCATGAGCAATTTGGTAACCAATCGCTGGCCAGAATGAGCGAACCGCACTTTTACTATCGATTCCTCACAGGCGGAGTGCATTTGGATAACTCCGCCTGTGACAGGAGCCGGCGCTATAGAGGAGGTATCGGCTTATGCGGCTCCGCTCCCTCCACTGCCGCTGGCTTCGTTGGCACCACTGATTCTCTCCCGCGGCTCTTCATGTTCCCCCTTTATGCCACCACTGAACCGGGAATAGTCACAACTAGGTCTTATTTTCGGGGTAGGTCTTATATTTTAGCAATTCCCAAAAATAGTACTAAGTCTTATTTTCGGGGAAACAGGGTAGCAGTTATGACAGTATTATTTTGTGTCTTCTAGTGACTTGCAGATGCAGTTCCGATGGGACGTCCCAGAACCTTTCCTCATCATCCCACAAAGTGGCGAGCTGGACCCCAGATGTCAGATCTGCACCAAGGTCTTATTCCAGCCGCAGATTGCGCTTGTACACAGTGTGGTCGCCACATGTCACTTTGGCCTGAATGAGGAATATACAAGAAGCATACAGCTGACTGCAATCTGTAAGGAAGCATCTCTTATTAAACTAATAGCCAACTGTGTCATTTACTGCATGAATTATGAAAATTAAATATGACACTTTTTAAACCTTGACCGCACTATTCAGATAATTCCAATACTACAGACTTTATTAAAATTCACAACAAATCCAGTATAACAGCGTGTATAAAACAGCAAATACCAGCACCGTTACACTGGATTTGCTGTGAATTTCAATAAAGTCTGTAGTATTGGAATTCTCTGGATAGTGCCGTCTGTTCGTATACTACTACATTCCAAGGTGGAGACGCACCTATTAGACCAGCACCTGGGGAGTCCCGATGGTGGCTAAGGAATTGGAGTGTTGAGATTTCCTTTGGCTCTACAATTTTTAAACCTTGTTGTCATAATTGCATAGGTAGGAAACTAGGCATGTGCTCTCAATGGCCAGAAAAATAGAAACAGCATTACCACCTTTGGTATGGAAACAACTTCCAAACATCCTGGCAATGATGTCTGTGGCATCCTGATGTTAAAGCAAACTGGAAGTATTAAAAAAAATATAGCAAATTAGGATTTTCTGCAGGTAGGAGCCAATTACATTTTAGCACATACTTTTTTGGTCCAGGTTCTCTCCCTACATCATTTTACTGAGCTCCAGCTGTCTCTACTTCCTCATAATGCAGAATAAGCACTCTTCCACACACTTTCCCATCACAGTCAGCAGGCCCAGGCATTGCCATGTTGGCTGCAGTAGGTACCGACTTTTGAATACGCAAATTCTGACTTTGAGAATGTCAGTATTTGCATAACCACCTCAGGGGGGCTGCAGGAGACACTGGTCAGGTATAACTTAAGCACCGAATGCGTATGCTTCAGCTATCAGCCATTTTATTATAGTTGTTTTTTCCCTCATAGCACAGTAAAGCCTTCTTAGAACAGAAGGTATTCACATACCGTATCTCATTCCATCACATGCCCCAAAAATAAGAGGATTAATTCCATTTCAGGACAGTGGGAGAACGCATGCAAATCCTTTCTTTATGCCCCATCAGTCAGATGCACACCCAGAACCACAAATGTATAGTGCACATACAGCCTAATATTGCTTATGGTGTCTAGTTTGACCTATCCAAATGGCAAGGAAGAAGGAGTGGCAACTATTGCTGCTGGTTGATTTCTCTTTTTCTGGCCACTGTGTTTATACAATATATTAACGCTTTTTGATGGATATGCTTGATCATATTCACCAATATACCTAGACTACTGTTTCTCTTTAGAAATTGCACATAGCTTTCCTCTGCCGTAGCAAACATAAAATGAACAGGATTGCAAATATTGTGCTATTTTTTCATTAAAATTACAGACATGAATTTGTTAATAAACTAATAATAGTTTATTTGTGCAGCCAAGTACCCCCATCTCTTGGTATCTGTTCCCGGAGAAACATGTGAGGATACCTTAGAAGTGGGACCAGTTCTGCAGTTTGGATCCGTTGGAGTGGACATGGTGTCTGAGAAAAATATTGAAATCTGCAACCCCTCAGTGGTATGTAATCATGTCTGTCTTGTTCTATCTGCTTAAAAGCTGAATTACGGGATAAAGGAATATAGACTAAACACAAGAGGCGTGTATTCCTATTGGAATTCTAGTGTGCTTTGTATATTTCTTTTAGATCAGTTCAGTAACTCAATGTGAAGCTTGTGCAGAGACTCCTGTAATAAAGACCAGTGACTGCTGCTCTGGTCTTGTCAACCCCTACCTTGATCCTCCCTATTGGGATGCTGCCGGTGACTTTTAAAGACCAGTAAAGAGGCTTAGAAGGCTGGTGGGGGCAAATTTGAGCTTAGTTTTTACAGAAATACAAATACATTTATTATATGTATTCCTTAAAGGGTTATTAAACCCTCACATTTTTTTGCATATATCTACTGCTAGCAAGCAGTAGATATATGCAAAAACTTAAAAAAAACTTTTTGAAACAGGTTTAAACCTATCTGTGGCTTTGCCGCGTGCTCCCGTCTGAACATCTGAAGAGTCTCGGGTGGCCGCAAAGGATCTTGGAGCGGGCGCATGCGCACTTCAGGTGTTCGGCCGGGAGATGAGGAGAGACACAAGGCAAGTCTATGGAGCAGCGTGCACCCGCACAGACTCCGTGGGATATCAGAGAAGAGGAGGACAGAGGAATCAGCGCTGGATCAGAGACCCGCACCAGCACTGGATCAGGGACCCGCACCAGCCCTGGATCAGAGACCCGCACCAAGGCTGGATCAGAGACCCGCACCAGCGCTTGATCAGAGACCCGCACCAGCGCTGGAGGGACAGCTGAAAGTAAGGAAGACGATGATCTGATTAAGAGGCATCCTTTAAGGTTAATCCTTACACTAACATTGGTGGGAGGGGGAAAAAATATCCTTTAATGTCACTTTAAAATCATTAAAGACCAACTCTGAGCATTTTTTTAAATTTTAATTGACCCCAAGCAGATATTAGAAATAAAAACATAGCTATGGCTGCAAAACTCAATACATTAATGCAGCATGGACCCCCGCAGTACTTATTTTTCAGCACATAATGTTCTAAGTCTTCCAGGTTTAAAGCTGCCCAGCATTGCGCAACCTTAAAGATTCGAAGCTGGCCATACACCTATAGATTATCTGCAGATTTTCTATGGTAAGATGGAAAAGTGCAACAGAGTCTTCCATCTACGATAAACTGTGTGGATGGAGGAATCTCCCGCTGGGCCAAGCTTCAGTATCTTGCTAGTCAAAATATCTGAACAATGCCTGCATCCAGATTGTTCAGGTATTTTGAGAGCAAGTGGGGCTAATTAGCAAGATACAGAAGCTTGGCCCAGTGGGAGATTTCTCCATCCACACAGTTTAGCGTAGACGGAGGAATCTGATGCACTTTTTCTATCTGACCATAGAAAATCTGCAGATAATCTATAGGTGTATGGCCAGCTTAAGGAAATACTGCGAGTGCAGGTCGTCATGACCCCCTCCCTTGTGGAGATTTCAACATGGTGCTCTTCATTAGCTCTATAATGATGCTATTATGATGCCATTCTATTTCACACAGGTGGATGCTGCTTTCCATATTGAGCAGGAGAAGAGGCCAGGCCAAGTGGACTGTCATTTTTCTTGTGGCGTTTCAGGTGGTATAGTACCAGCCCAGGGCAAGCTGAGAGTTCCCCTGAAGTTTAGTCCACGTACAGTGGGCATTGAGAGCGTGGACTATTTCCAGGTCATTCCAGCTGGAAATATCACCAAGTCAGTGGTAAAGGTTTCTGGGATTTGTAAAGGTATGACATTTCCTTAACATACTTCTTAATTCTCACTTCTTAGTGACACATTCAATAACAACAGATACTGAATTCCTAGCAGAATTGGTCTATACTTTGCAGAAGAGCGCTGAAGGGAATATCCCCAAATAGTACTGAAGGTCACAAAATTTCAGTGATAGACCAACACAAATACCCTATAAGATCCTTTTCTGTTCCAGCATAACTGCACCCCCGTGCACAAGGCCAGCTCCATAAAAACATGGTTTGTTGAGTTTGGTGTGAAGGAACTCAAGTACAAAATGGAAAATCCATTTTGTACTGAGTGGCAGCGCCATCCGTAGTCACTGCGAGCAACCCCCCCCATCCAATTTGTTTGAGTGCGATAAGGTATCTTTTTCGTTTGTTTGAGGAACTCAAGTAGTCTGCACAGAGCCCTGACTTCAACCTTACCGAACACCCTCGGGATGAATTGGAACACCGATTCCGAGCCAAGTCTTCTCATCTAACATCAGTGCTTGACCTCACAAATTGTCTCTTGACTTAATGGGCAAACATTCCCACATGCACATGCTGAAATCTTGTGGAAAGCCTTCCCTGGATGTTATGGCTGCAAAAGGAGGCAACGCCATATTAAAGGAGAACTATGAGGTGAGTGATTTTCACTCAGCCTCATAGTTCGAGCCGACGTGTGACAATTAAACTGTCACACGTCGGCTTAATAGATCGGGAAGTGAGCAAACACATACCTTCGCTCGCTCACTTCTCGATCATATCCCTGCAGAGAGCTGTGACTGTCACTCACGGCTCCATGCAGGGATTCCCCCCTCCCCGCTCCGATCCTGCAGCGCTGACTGACAGAACGGATGGGGGCGGGTACAGCTGGCTCTGCCTCTAGATAGGCAGAGCCAGCTGTCAATAAACACAGCTGGGTGGATCTCGACAGTAATATCGGCATCCATCCTGGCTGCGGCGGTCTCAGTATACAGCTACAGTATAGTGAGCTTTGGGTCACCAGAGGATGCTAGTTTGTGTCCCCCCTGTGACCCTTAGGAGAACTATGGGGAAAAACACTTAACCCATAGTTCTCCTTTAATGCCCATGGTTTTAAAATTGGATGTCCAAGAAGCTGCTATAGGTGTGATGGTCACAGGGAATAGTCATGCTGGAACAGGGTTGGAAGGACAAAATTGTCTAAAATCTCTTTGTATGCTATAGCGTTAACAATACCCTTCACTGGACATACCTAAACTCAGTCAATTGGAGGGATGCTCACATACATTTAGCCATATAGTGTAACTGTACAGACACTGCAGCACTTAGAACACTACATTATAACTCAACTTTTAGAATACTATGTAAATGTTTTATATTTATGTTTTTTTAATCACAAAACATAAAGTACAAAAGTGCTTATGTAGTGAAAGCCAATCCTCCTAAAAACAATATCTTCATTTTATTATATGGCGATTGTTTTATATTACAGTTTAGTTCTCCAATAATCCCCTTTGTGCTCTTCCAGGACCCAATGTGTCTCTCCACACATCAGTTCTAAATTTTGGTTTGGTTAATTTGGGGGAGGAGATCCTGCGCACCCTGGAAATGACCAATTCCTCAGATGTTCCGGCACTCTTTCAGTTCGATATCAATACCAGCGAAAGCGTTTTTTCCTTTGACCGGACATATGGAACGCTGGGCCCTGGAGAGACTCGAAGCGTGAAGATCACCTTCTCTCCAATTCACCCAATTCCTCATAATCGGCGAGTCACCTGCCTCCTCCACCATCAGGTCAGACACCTGTAATGGGTAGATGTGGCTAGAAAATTAAAATGGAACTATAATGTTACTGGGTCAAGTTTTATGTTAGTTGTTTTTTATGTTATCATTTTTTAAATGTTGTTTTACATTATATAGGAAAAGGAATCGCCAGCACTCAGTAGAATAATCCAACATGTCTATTTATTGGACATAGACGTCACACAATCACAAGAGCCAACGTTTCGAGACCACGCAAGGTCTCTTCATCAGGGCGTAAAGAGTGAAGAGGGTCACTCTTTATGCCCTGATAAAGAGACCCTGCGTGGTCTCGAAACGTTGGCTCTTGTGATTGTTTATAGGCCCTTTAAGGCTGAACTCCAGGTAGATATAAAACACACTGATAACTGCAGCTCTGTATTCATTAATACATCCCATTCACAATTCACAGTCTGGGGAAGGAACAAGACCTGTAAATGGTACTGAACTGCAGGAGGGAATGCTTAGGTTTCCTCCTGTGCCAGACAGGGCTGTGCTGTATGACAAAACTTTAAAAATCTCAGGACTGGATGGACAGAAATACAACTCCTTTGGCAAGTAAAACCTTAAATTAATTTCTTCTGTGTATTTATCTGGTTGGATGATCAGTGAAACGTCTTCAAGAAAAATACAGCAAGTCCAGTTGCCTTGACTTTTTTTTTACAGATATACCATGACCCGGATGAATGAGAACCTTCACAGACATATTCTGTGTATTTAGTTGTTTGCCTGTAGTTATGCTTTAAAGTAAACCTGTTGTAGTTGAAGACTACCATTGCTCACCTCCTACAAATGCTAGTTACGTGGCTGTAATGCTGACTCTGGCTCTAATACTTTTTCAGCTAGTTACCCAGATCGGGTTGCGGTTGCACTAACAACTGTAAATTTCAGGAGATTAGACCTGAAAGACATATAACCTAGTTCACTAGATAACTATGTAACATGTTCTTGTGTTCGAGGATCCTTTGTTTGTGGACTTGATTGGCAGTTGTCACTCGGACATGGACAAGCCGGCCGTTGTGCTTCCTAAGCACATGTCCCTTTACAGAACAAACATGGCTCGGGGGCTGACAATCTACCCGCCAGATATCCTGGATGCCATGATAGAGGAAAAGAAGATAAACACAGACACTGAGGGGGCTCTGGTTCTTCAGGAACAGGTATGGATCCTTATGAGATCACATATCCGTTGATGACTTCCTTTCTTTTCTGTGCTTTACATGTGTTCCTTTTTCTGAAGCGTGTGTAATTTTTGCATGTAAACCGTAATTAAAATTGCCTGACTTGTTTCATCAATGACCCCTATGTTGTTAGCTGATATTAGCAGTGACTTCTTAAAGCAGAAGTTAAAGGAGAATTATGAGGCGAGTGATTTTCACTCAGCCTCATAATCTGAGCCGACCTGTGACAATGAAACTGTCACAGGTCTGCTCAGTAGATTGGGAAGTGAGCGAACACATCCCGGCGTTCGCTCACTTCTCGATCTATCCGTGCAGAGAGCCATGACTGTCACGGCTCCCTGCAGGGATTCCCCCCCTCCCCTGTCCGATCCTCCAGCGGTGACTGGTGGAACGGACGGGGGAGGGGGCAGGTACAGCTGGCTCTGCCTCTAGATAGGCAGAGCCAGCTGTCACTCACGCATCTGGGTGGATCCAGACAGAATTGTCGGGATCCGTTCCGGCTGCGGCGTCTCAGTATACCGCGAGCTGTAGTTTGCGGTATACTGAGCTTTGGGTGACGCGAGGACGCTAGTTTGTGTCCTCCCGTTACCCTAAGGAGAACTATGGGGAAAAGCCCTGACCCCATAGTTCTCCTTTAGGTCTTTTTTTTTTCTAAAGGAAAAGTGCATTTTAAGACAAGGTGCTCTTACCCTTTAGGCCCCTTTAAGCTGATATAACCACGGCACAGATGCATACTTCTTTCCCGGGCCCGACCTCAGTTGTTTGGTGGCATCCTGCGGTGGACGTCTCCTTCTCCTGGCTGTAACTGCGTAACAAACCCCCATTGATTACTATGGGGCTCGACTCCTAGCTGGTAGATGGAGGTAGACAATAATAACAACACATTTTTGGTTATTTTCAGATTGACGCCACTCCTGAGAAACACCACCTTCAGGACACTGCATCTGAATATTTTAACGATGACTTCAATCAGGAGGATTCTACATTGTTATCACATATTACAGCCAACACCAGAGACTTTGATTTTGGCCAGTGTGTGGGTCACACAAAAGAAACGCTACCAGAATCTCTTCCTCTGTCCTTGACCAATCACACTAAGGGGAAAGTGACTGTTATGTGGACCTGCAAACCTCACAGTCCATTTCGGGTCACCCCAGAGGTCACCGATATCCCACCTCTGAAATCCACTTCATTCCGTGTGGTCTTCCAACCCTCACAGATGAATACTTTGTATGAGGCAGAACTGGAGGGCTTCATCTTTTACAAGGTGAGCTGACTTGGGAAGAGAGAATAAGAAAAAATCAAATGATAGCAAAGAAAAAAACTCCCCACATTTTTAAACTGATAAAAAGTAAAAATATTTTTTTTTTCTTAAATAGACATGTGCTTTAGATCAGTGGTTCTCAACCCGTGTAACCTCAGGACCCACATTTGACCTTGATCATTAAGTCATGACCCAAGTCGCACAGCACAGGAACGCACGGCATTGCGATACCGCAAGTTCCGGTGCGGGCGATCAAACTGTAGGTGGGAGGTGAGTTTGGGGTGCCATTCAAATAAATGGCAATTCAATATCTCCCACACCAGAATTTGTGGTAGGTATGATTTTGCGTGGTACAGTGCGTTGATCGCACGGGACTGTGCGATTAACGCACTGTACTAGTGTAAACGGGCCCTCAAAAACACTGACAACCACAATTTCACACTCAGCCATACACACACACACACACAGATCCACCCAGTATCTCTATGTTACGAGAACTTGAGTGGATCCTCATCCTGGGGTCCAGTGTGAGCTGCTGTGCTGTGATGGAGCTCCATCCATATGTGCATTGCTGATACAGCTGCCTTGCGTGCCCTGTAGAGGTGCCGGGAACCAGAATGTGACGTCACTCTAGTCCAGGCACTTCTACAGGACACACAAGGGAGGTGTAAGCAATGTGTGTATGGATGGAGCTCCCTCGTGGCCATAGCCCCATCCCATCCCACCTCAAGCTGACACTCGGCGCTAGGCAGCATATTTTGAATGGCTGCTTGGGTGTGAGAACTGACAGTGCTGCGCTAGGGGAAAGTTGCGGAGCCTCTCACCTAGAAAAGTGGAAGGCATGCAGTGAACGCCTGAACAGAGGGCCACGACCCACCAGTTGAGAACCAAGGCTTTAATGAATAGGGAAAATATGTAAACAACTACTACTTGTTCCCTTTAACTGTGAGGGCACCATCAGCATTTATATCTTCAGAATTGATCTTCATCCACAGGTTCTGCGAGATTATCGTAATGTGAAAGATGCCACTGTCTGTCCCCCTTGGTGCATTACCCTGCGGACAAGAGGCCACACATTTCAGTTAGGACAGGGTCACTTTGTACCCAGCTGTGTTCTGGATTCACCTCACATGGTAAGAGCTTTAGGAATCTCTTTTACTAAAAAGTTATAGTGTGTTATTACTACATCTACCCTTATGGATGTTATATACCAGGTGTCAACAACCATTCTCCATATTAAGAGTTATATTACAAGCATTCAACAACCAGCATGCCAGTGAACAATAGCAATCCATAGACCCCAGTTCCTGCACCTTCAGACCTCAGATCAACCCCAGTTCCTGCACCTTCAGACCTCAGATAACTCCCGTTCCTGCACTTTCACGCCTCAGATCAGCCCCAATACCTGCACCTTTAGATCTTAGATCAACCCCAGTTCCTGCACCTTCAGACCTCACATCATCCCCAATTCCTGCACATTCAGATCTCAGATTAGCCTCTATCCCTGCACCTTCATATCTCAGATCAGCCCCAATTCCTGCACTTTCACGTCTCAGATTAGCTCCTATCCCTGCACCTTCAGATCTCAGATCAGCCCCAATTCCTGCACCTTCAGACCTCAGATCAACCCCAGTTCCTGCACCTTCAGACCTCAGATTAATCCCCGTTCCTGCACTTTCACGCCTCAGATCAGCCCCTATACCTGCACCTTCAAATCTCAGATCAGCCCCGATTCCTGCACCTTCAGAAAAAAAAGACTAATAATATAAAACTGGTGCCATCCATTTTAAATCTACCATCTTTATCTATACCAGTGGTCAGCAGCCTTTTCCACATTATGGTCACTTTACAAGCATTAGACAACCAGCGTGCCAGCTAACAAAAGCTTGCTGTAGATCTCAGATCAGCCCCAGTTCCTGCACCTTTAAGATTCAGATCAGCCCCTGTTCCTGCACTTTCAGGACTCAGATCATCCCTAATTCTTTTACCTTCAGACCTCAAATCAGCCTAATTTCTGTACCTTTCCACCTCAGATCATCCCCAATTCCTGCACCCTCAGATCAGCTCCAGTTCCAGCACCTTCATACCTCAGATTAACCCCTATCCCTGCACCTTAAGGCCATAAATCAGCCACAATTCCTGCACCTTCAGGCTACAGCTCAGCTCCAATTCCTGCACTTTCAGACCTCAGATCAGCCCCAATTCCTGCACCATCAGAGATGCAGGGGCTCTACATTCATACCTCCTATAGCTTGTGGCTCTACTCAGAGGAGAAAGAGGGTAGACAGACGGCCTTCTTTTCGTAATGTTGTCAGCAGTCCCATATGGGCAAATGCTGGTGCTGGACAATATGGGCAGTCCCATATGGGCAAATGCTATTGTGCTATCAATTACAGCCTGGAGTTGCCTAATTCTGAGATATATATATATATATATATATATATATACTAATACATTTGTATACATATGTTATATACACTAGTACAGTATGTTATATGTATGTCATATGAACTGCTTCAGTATGTTATGTACAATACTACAATAAATACATCTTATATGCTGTAGGTTTTTCCGCCAGTGAGACAAGATATGCACACATATCGCAGTTTGCTGCTACAGAACACTGGCTCTACGATAATGACTTATGCCATAGACCAGATGAGCTGCCTGAATGTCCAGGTAAAGCCAGCCTCCGGTCACCTGGCACCTGGCTCTCATCAAATACTGCTGGTGAGGACCAGCCCTCATGAAACTGGATTGACAAGGAACACTCTGCCTCTGCAGCTCAATTACAGTTCTGATTTCTCCCAGGTAGGTATCATTTTCTGTCAGGTAGAGGCAAGCTTTTAGTAGTCCTGTCCTCACCACATCAAATATACCAATGGGGTTAGCCATACAGAGGCAGGATGAATTTCCATTTTCGCAGTAATGCTGGTGATTTCTCATTATTAGCTCAGCAATCCATATACTTTGATGGCAAATAATTTATTACAATTTGCAGTAGAATATAGCTGGGAAAGAGGGATGGCAGTCTTTAGAATGGATATGGAACAAAGAAGCAGATCACTAGCACTCAGGAGTAAAGATGAATATGTCCTTTTTTTATTGGACACAGACATCACAGTGATCAGAAAATCCTAGGTTTCAGGGCCGTCTTTCTGCCTTGAGGAAGGGACCCTGCGTGGCCCCGAAACGTCGGCTTTTCTGATCACTGTGACGTCTTTGTCCAATAAAAAAAGGACATATTCATCTTTACTCCTGAGTGCTGGTGATCTGCTTCTTTGTTCTGTGTTTGCACGGCGCCATCCGTGGTTATCACTACGAGCACCATCTTTCTTGTTGGCCGGGACTGCTGCGAGGTGTGCGGAGGGCTCCCCCATCGATCAACATCTGTAGAATGGATATGTTCTCTGTGTCAGACTGCTTCAGGCACTCAACTAGCAGCAAAGTTAAAGGCCACTATGAGGAGTCTCAAAGCGCTCTGTAACTCAAACTGCAGCCAGGTCTGGATTTTACCATAAAGAACAGTTGGCCTGTCCCTATAGGTGGCAAAATGAAAGAGACACTTTTCCCTGTAAAATTGACTATTTGTTTTACAGAAATAAAGTTAAATATTAGAAGCATATTGTCACAGTGGTAGGCAGGTTGGGACCAATAAAACAGGGACATTTTCTGTGTGAGACGTTGTGCTATCAGACCGAGTGTTGGTTCGGATGCTAAATGTTTTGTACCTACAGACTTAAAGCTTAAGTTTAATCTTCTTATATTTTGTCTACCTAGGTTCCTTCTTTCCCCCGTCATCAACATGCTAATACAAATTTTAAATAAAACGTTTCCTTTTCAATACATACCTTTTTTTTAGATCAAGGGACATCATCAATGGCCCTCTGTGCATAATTTTGCAATGCAGGCAGATCGTGACTAGTGGGAGGAGCCAGCAGGTTTCTGTACATGATACAAACAGTGACCTGAGTCATGGGAGGAGTTATGCAAATAATAGAATAGCCTGATTGGTACATGGCAGTCAGGCGGAGTAGGTGTTCTTAAAGGTGAACTATGGGGTCAGGGCTTTTCCCCATAGTTCTCCTAAGGGTAACGGGAGGACACAAACCAGCATCCTCCCGTCACCCTAAGCTCAGTATATAGAGAGCTGCAGCTCGCGGTATACTGAGACGCCGCAGTTGAAACGGATCCCGACAATTATGTCGGAATCCGCCCAGCTGCGTGAGTGACAGCTGTCTCTGCCTATCTAGAGGCAGTGCCAGCTGTACCCGCCCCCTCCCCCGTCCTTGTCCGCCAGTCAGCGCTGGAGGAGTGGGGAGGGGGGAATCCAGTCCCTCCCCGTTCACAGCTCTCTGCCGTGACAGGATCGAGAAGTGAGCGAACGCCGATATCATGCAACATTAGATTATGGGGGGAATTTATCAAAACTGAAGCAGACAGAACCTGGAGCAGTTGCCCATGGCAACCAATCAGCATCTCTCTTCAGTTTGCTGAGGTAAGATTTGCAAATGAGACAGAGAACTTGATTGGCTGCAGTACAAATCTGCTCCAGTTTTTATAAATTCCCCCCCTATGACTTCAACTTTTGCAATAACAACAGCAAAATACAGCTGGTGACAAAAGTTGCAATCCCGGTATGAATGGCTGTTGTCATCTACATGTGCATAGGGCGGACTGATTTCTGATGACAGTCTTTCTGATTGTATTCTTTCTGTCTGGAAGGACATTGTCCTGTTTTGTAGAGCGGAAACCCCCCAGCTCTGCCTAGAAAAGAAGGGAAGACTTTACTTTAAACCGACCTATGTGGGTACCCAGTCTGAGTGCTCCTACTCCCTGAAGAACTGCTGCAGAGTCCCGCTGCACTTTGAGTGGACGATCCAACAGACCGACCGATCTTATTTCTCAGTCAGTCCTTGCAAGGGGATTATCAGACCGAATGAGACCTTGGTAAGACACCATGTCATAAAGCACTTTAGTATGCATACCATCTCTTAAAGCGGACCTTTACCCATGTCTTTAAAATAACAACAAACACAGCTTTAGAAATGTTCAGTAATGACAATCTACACACACATACTTCTACATAACTGCAGGCTTTGTATTCTTTGCATATCTTATTTCTCTTTTCTTCCCCGGTCTTCTGACAGTGGCCATGTTTACTAAGGCCAGATTACTAGCTCTCCTTTTACTTCCTGAAACTCTGGCACATGTGACTAGACATGTGACTATGACATGTGACCATGCACATCATCTCTGGGGAGGAAAATGCTTTTCCCTGAGATCTCCTGAGATTACAGATGAGATTCCCCTGCGATGCTCTGCTGATGACAAGGCAATCCCAGGGTGCATTGCTTTGCCAAACTAAAGTCATTTTGCCCTTTCAAAGCAGGAAGTGAATGGTCTTCAAGTGTAAGTATTTCACAAGCACAGCATTTTACACCTGACATGTCTATGTGATTATTAATCATCATACATAGAGGGATGCATTGGTAGAATTAGATTTTTGACTGCAAAGGTCCGCTTTAAGATACTGTCATACATTATTTTGGATACTGTATATAACTCATTCTGCTATCATTGGTGTAGTTTTCCTATATAAGCACTAGGGATGCACCGATATATCGGCCGCTGAAACATATCGGCCGAAAATGGCACTTTTGGCTAAATGCCGAAAGTGCCATTTTCCTGCCGATACATCGGCGCATCCGTTTTTTCTTTCCTCCCCGCTGGGCGCTGCTCTGTATCCCAGCGGTGAGGAGAGAAAGTGTGACAGCTGGCCGAGCGCTGTGGGAGGAGAGCACTGTGAGCGGCCAGCGTCTCTCCTTCCACACCGATCAGCCTCCTATTACAGTCCGGCAGAGCGGTGTGTGGGCGCAGACAGCGCTGCCACTGAGCTGAGCTCTCCTCCCTGCACTGCTCGCTCAGCCTCCTGTGACAGCAAGTCAGAAAGGAGAGCGGGTACAAGCAGTCAGTGATCGCTGAGTGTTTGGAGATAATTGAGGAAAGAGTATGGTTACTATATCCTCAATTATGAATAAATGGGAAGTGGTCTACATCCCCTCCTGTTCATTCATGATTGTGCTTATAGTAAACATACTATGTTATCAAGTTATGAATGATCAGGAACACTCAGTATAGAGGATTCCTGTTCATTGATAACAGGGGATACAGAAAAAGAGATGGAGGACTCTGTGTCCTCAATCTCTTTTTCTATTTTAAAAGGGAAATATCAGGGGTCTGTTTAGACCCCTAATATTTCCCCTAAGCCGCTAAAAGTATGATTACAGATGAGATTCCCCTGCGATGCTCTGCTGATGACAAGGCAATCCCAGGGTGCATTGCTTTGCCAAACTAAAGTCATTTTGCCCTTTCAAAGCAGGAAGTGAATGGTCTTCAAGTGTAAGTATTTCACAAGCACAGCATTTTACACCTGACATGTCTATGTGATTATTAATCATCATACATAGAGGGATGCATTGGTAGAATTAGATTTTTGACTGCAAAGGTCCGCTTTAAGATACTGTCATACATTATTTTGGATACTGTATATAACTCATTCTGCTATCATTGGTGTAGTTTTCCTATATAAGCACTAGGGATGCACCGATATATCGGCCGCTGAAACATATCGGCCGAAAATGGCACTTTTGGCTAAATGCCGAAAGTGCCATTTTCCTGCCGATACATCGGCGCATCCGTTTTTTCTTTCCTCCCCGCTGGGCGCTGCTCTGTATCCCAGCGGTGAGGAGAGAAAGTGTGACAGCTGGCCGAGCGCTGTGGGAGGAGAGCACTGTGAGCGGCCAGCGTCTCTCCTTCCACACCGATCAGCCTCCTATTACAGTCCGGCAGAGCGGTGTGTGGGCGCAGACAGCGCTGCCACTGAGCTGAGCTCTCCTCCCTGCACTGCTCGCTCAGCCTCCTGTGACAGCAAGTCAGAAAGGAGAGCGGGTACAAGCAGTCAGTGATCGCTGAGTGTTTGGAGATAATTGAGGAAAGAGTATGGTTACTATATCCTCAATTATGAATAAATGGGAAGTGGTCTACATCCCCTCCTGTTCATTCATGATTGTGCTTATAGTAAACATACTATGTTATCAAGTTATGAATGATCAGGAACACTCAGTATAGAGGATTCCTGTTCATTGATAACAGGGGATACAGAAAAAGAGATGGAGGACTCTGTGTCCTCAATCTCTTTTTCTATTTTAAAAGGGAAATATCAGGGGTCTGTTTAGACCCCTAATATTTCCCCTAAGCCGCTAAAAGTAAAGTAAAAAATTGAAATATTTAATAAAAAATGAAGGAATAAATACAAATAAATATAAAGAAATTAAAACATTTATAAAAAATAAATAAAAATAAAATATTTGAAAAATTTGAAAAAATTAAAGTAAAAAACATTTTCGGTTTCGGCCTGACAATTTCTTTTTATTTCGGTTTCGTTTCGGTTTTGAAATTTCCATTTCGGTGCACCTCTAATAAGCACATCCGCGTGTCTTTGTCTGCCAGTCTGTGATGTAGAGAAATATTCTGTAAGCTCATTTTGGAGGGGACTGCTGATCTCTAAATAGGCATTTTTAAAATTAAAATAAAAATCACCAGAAAGGAGGATGATTGTATATGATTGGGGTATAGACTGGAGATGTTTGTTTTCTATCTGAAATGGATACTTTTGTTGTCCCTGTCAGTCACAGACTTGGTCATTTGTTCCACAAGAAGAAAAAAATTACTTTATTAAAGCTACGGTACTGTCTTGGCCAGCTGATGAAGCCTCCGAGCCTGTCTCAAAAAGGCACTACCCCCTGCGTATCACTGGAGAGGGCTGCAGGGGAACATTGTCAGTAAGTACACATGTAATGTAGTATGTGAAAAAGGAGGTCTGTATTTTTTTTATGTTATGAATTATTTGTTTGGTTTTTGTACCAAAGAGTAACATATGGTATGTGGTTTGCTTAGAAAGACATTCCCAATTCTAAAAAAAAAAAATGGTGCCATTCATTTTAAATCTACCATCTTTATCTTCAGCAGCCTTTTCCACATTAAGGGTCACTGTACAAGCATTAGACCACCAGCATGCCAGCAAACAAAAGCTTGCCATAGATCTCAGATCAGCCCCAGTTTCCACACCTTTAAGATTTAGGGCATCCCCAATTCACCTTGCACCTTCATACATCATATCAGCCCCAATTGCTGCATCTTCATACATCCATATTAACCCCAATTCCTGCACCTTCATACATCATATCAGCCCCAGTTCCTGCACCTTCATACATCATATCAGCCCCAGTTCCTGCACCTTCATACATCATATCAGCCCCAATTCCTGCACCTCCATACATCATATCAGCCCCAATTGCTGCACCTCCATACATCATATCAGCCCCAATTGCTGCACCTTCATACATCATATTAACCCCAATTCCTGCACCTTCATCCAGCATATCAGCCCCAGTTCCTGCACCTTCATACATCATATCAGCCCCAGTTCCTGCACCTTCATACATCATATCAGCCCCAGTTCCTGCACCTTCATACATCATATCAGCCCCAATTCCTGCACCTCCATACATCATATTAGCCCCAATTCCTGCACCTTCATACATCAAATCAGCCCCAATTCCTGCACCTTCATACATCAGATCAGCCCCAGTTCCTGCACCTCCAGACTCAGATAAGCATCAATTCCTGCACCTTCATACATCAAATCAGCCCCAGTTCATGCACCTTCAGACCTAGATAAGCATCAATTCCTGCACCTTCAGACCTCAGATCCTGCACCTTCATACATCAGATCAGCCCCAGTTCCTGCACCTTCACACCTCAGATAAGCATTAATTCCTGCACCTTCAGACCTCAGATCAGCCTCAAATCTTGCACCTTCAGAAACAGGGGATTTACATTCAAACCTACTGCAGCTAGTCTTTGCACTATGAGGAAGAAGAGGGCAGGCAGGCGGGCTTCTTCACATAACAATGCCCACAGGTGGGCCTACACTGGTACTGGGAGGAGGAGCTGGTACCTGGATATCAGTGACGTCAGGGGGATCAGTCTGAAACATCATGGGGGTGAATGGGCTGTGGGGGCAGAGAGGCAGGCTAGGCTTTTGTAATTGACAGTGGCACTATATTTGTAAAGGAGCCCACCAGAGGATCATCCGGTGGGCCAGCTTAAACCTACCCACATGCAACATGCTTTTCTGGGTGCCACTGAAAGTGACATTGTGTGCCCACTCTGGCACCCGTGCTTTAGGTTGCCTATCCCTGGTCTAAAGAATTGTAACCTATTATTTATGTCTTACCTTTCTACCTACTGCTATTGGATTTAACTGACCACTGGTGTTGAGGCCCAGGACAGTGGCGTCACAAGGGAGGTGCAGGGGGTGCGACCCGCACCTGGGTGCCACTATTGGAGGGGTGACACCAAAATGACTGATAGTCAATTTGGTGTCACCCCCTATGAAAAGTCGGGCACTCGGTCATGGACCGAGAGCCCAACAGTGTCAGGAGAGAGGAGGGGACCCGGCGGCATACCTCATCCTGCCAGGTGAGCGTCCCCTCCTCCCCTCTGCCGGCATCCATCACTAAGATGGCTGCCGACAGGCTTCAATAAGATGACCATGTACGCGCGATGATGTCATCACGCACGTGGCAACGTCACGCGCATGCGCGATGACATCACGGCGGGGGTATCACCGGTCTCCGCTCCGGGTGACACCCAGCCTTGGGACGCCCCTGGACCAGGACTTCCTTCTTGGCTAAGGTAGTGTCTGTCTTTCACTTCAACCTGGCCATTGTTTTCCTGTCCCTCTGTTTGACTTCAGTTCGCCAAAAGGGAATTTCCCTCCCATGTGTGGATGTAAATCGGGCTGTGAAAATCTATTTCTCTGCTACTGCTACTTTAGGAAGACTGATTCCTTTTGTAGTCCGGATGGACCATGTAAGGGTACACTCGCTTCTCAGTCCACCATCTCTGGGTATCTTAGGCAGACCGTCATCTGAACATATGGTCTTAAAGTGACATTAAACCCTCAGATTTTTTAACATAAACCAATACTGTAATGTGCGCCTTACTGTAATCCATGGTAGTTTCCCTTCTCTTTGCTGCTCTTCCTTTTAAATCCTCATGTCTTCTCATGCTTGGGGAGAACTTCCCTTTTCAGCTCAGGGCCTCTTCCTGTAGTGCTGGCTCAGGTTTCAAGCCTATACAAACGTATACACAGACACCATGTATCCATTCCAGAGACAAGGCAGTCTGCTGCAAAACAGAAGTTCTCCCCAAGCATGAGAACAGATACAGATTAAAAAGGAAGAGCAGCAAAGAGAAGGGAAACAACCATGGATTACAGTAAGGCGCACATTACAGTATTGTTTTATGTTACAAAATCTGAGGGTTTAATGTCACTTTAAGGATCAGGTTCCACCTTATCCTGTCAAGGAGTACTCTGCTACATCAGAGGGTGCTTCTTGTTCTTTTTGGCATTATGCAGCCTTCCCAGTTTGTAAATCGACCGCCTTCTCTTTTATTTTTTATGTTCTACCCATGTGGCTCTTCAGGCCTCATATGATGCCAGCTTTGAGAGTTGAATCCTTCAACTGGCTCTGGAGCTTCAATCCATGTGATTTATGTTATCAAAATATGAACAATGAATGCAAGTTGGAACCGTTCACCTTTTTGGTTTGGCGCATATATATATTATTTTTTCCATTTTTTTTCCCAGACTCAGCAGGAGCTCCTGGATTTAGGAAACATTTTAGTTGGCAGTTTTCAGTCACATGATCTGCTTCTGTCAAATGATGGAAACTGCAGCCTGGAGTATACACTTAGCGCCAAGCAGGAGATCATGGGGGCATGTGACCCAGACGAGGTCATTAATGACCCAATAGGTAAATATCTTTTTTAAGCCATGGTACAGCCATGTTTGTGTTAATCTATTATGCTTATGGTTTTTATTATGTCTGGTTTATGTAAATAGATCACGTAAGTACTTTTACAATTTTAAAATGTTTTTCTTTAACTTATTTTCTTTGAATTGTAGTTTTACTCTCTGGTACTGCATTGTTGCAGGGGTAGCTGAACTGCAATAATGGCTGAAAAAAATAACAGCAAGCTGGTAGTTTAAGCGACGATAGCTTTTATTGCCTAACAGCAAAAAGTTTCCCAGCAACTCACCAGCCAGAATGCAAAAAAAACCTGTCTAACCGCTAAGGTTAAAAACAGAGGTTTTAGATGCACGTCTTCTACAGAACACGGGAAAGCCGCACCGCCTCGCCAAGACACCTCTGTGTATTGCGGTCCTAACTCTAATCTTTGAGAGTCTCCATCTTGGAGCACATGTAGCAAAAGATAAAATTGGGTGCAGGTTCACCAGGAGGTAGCCCAACCTCCTTAAAGGCACAGGGACACACAGGGGACCCCGCACATCACAACGGCAGCTGAGACCCCCAGTGTGTCACTGCACCAAATCAGTCTAGCAAAACAAATGGCAAATGCACTCATCAAATCATAACCAGCTTTAGGGCTTGTTCACACGACGTCCGGATTCTGTCCTGACCAGATCTGTGCGCTCCTACACTAAAAATGCATCCCAATGTATCCCTATGTGTTTTGTGGGCTACAGTTCTCACGTGCGCAGTCCGTTCAGTTCCTGGCAGAAAAAATACTGCATGTCACATTTTGTCTGGTCAGGATACGGTCCGGAAACGCAAAACGCATAGCACCGCGTCTGCAGATCTGCTCCAGATCTGGTCCGGACATCGTGTGAACAAGCCCTCAAAGCAAGGTGCACATGGAAGGGCTTTATACAGTACAAGAGCAAAAGGTTTCCTAGCACACTCACCAGCCAGCATGCATGTTTTTTTTGCATGCTGGCTGGTGAGTGTGCTGGGAAACTTTTTGCTGTTTGTACTGTATAAAGCCCTTCCATGTGCACCTTGCTTTAAAGCTGGTTATGAGTTGATGAGTGCGTTTGCCATTTGTTTAGCTTTTATTGCCTAGCACAAGTTATTAACAATGCAATTGTTTGGGACGCCTTAGATCCCTTTCTCAGGCTTTAAACGGTTCTATAACATTATTTACCATTATATAAAACTCTACCATTTTATTGAATTTTATAAAGCCTGAAGAAGGGAATAAATGGTCCCTAAATCTTGCACATGTAATAACTTGTGTTTGCCAAAAAAAGGCAGTAAAGAGTATAATCTTTCTGCATTGATCGATGCATGACACAGTACAAGACTCTACTACAGAGATTTTAGACAATGAAACCGTTCTCATGTTAAATGCAATTGTTTGGTTATAGCTCTGCATTAAATACGTTTTCTAGCATAAGGGGGAAACTTTTTGAAGTAAGGATATCACCAGCACACCAATCAAATAATTTCAGCAAAAGTCCATTTGAATGACAAAGGCCATTCAAAATACAAGCGCTTTCGAGGGGGGGGCAAGGGGTCCCCTTCATCAGGCTCGGAATGACATTCATGGACGTTTGCTGAAATCCAGTGTGCTGGTGATATCCCTTTATCCATATGCTGTTTAGCCGAAAGTGCCATTTTCGGCCGGCGCCCCCCCTTCACTTTTCGCCCGGGGCCCGCGCCCCTGCTGCCCCCCCGGTTGTTACGCCACTGCCCGCCTGTATATACAGGACACATATAGATCCGGTAAGGAGTGCAGCAGGATACTCTCTTCAATTGTACTTTTTGAAGTAGATGACGTGAAATCTTCTTTAAAAGGGTGTACAGATTAGGTTAAAAGAAAGCTATAGTAAAGAAACTTAGGGGCTGATTTATAATATGTTTTCTTTACATCTCTGGATAGCTCTGGAGTTTGATCATACTAAAGGGAGACTACCAGCCCGTACCAAGCTGAAGGTGAGAATAATTGGCCACCCGGCCCGCCGACTCCCCTATACCTGGACAATCAGCTACTGCATCCTCTCCCCAAAAGGTGGGTTTCATAATTTTATTTCGGGCATGGCCGGCCATATGAGCAAGTAGACACTTGAAGCGGCACTCCAACCATGAGGGATAGATATTCATTGCAAGGGTGCTTCCTTACCGTGTGCAAAAACACTTTTTTTTTCCATTCATTTTTTTATTGGAAGTTTTCAGAATACAAAATCCGAATAATACAGTAATAATGCAAAATACGGGTCATAGTGATATTGTTGAATTTGAAAAAGGCATAGGTTAAGCTAGTAGGTGGTATAAACAACAACGATGTAGGAGAACAGTCTACAGGTCATACATGGGATAGGGAATATTCTCGAGTATACCGGCAATCTTTTCGAACTGCGCTGTACAGATAACCAAAACAGAATCCTGAGTAATGTAAACCATCGTAATCGGATTGGAAAGGAAAAAAGATAGAATAGAATATAGATAATTGAAAAAAGAAAGAAAAGGAAGGGAAGGAGAATGGGGGGGTGATCAGGTTCAGAGAAGCGTTGACTACATTAAGTTGTGAGGAAACATGGTCCAAAGAGGTGGCAATGTTTCACGGGTGGAAGACAATTCCGGATTATTATTATTATTACACAGTATTTATATAGCGCCAACAGTTTGCACAGCGCTTTACAATGTAAGGAAGACATTACAATTACAATACAATTCAAGACAAGATGGTAAGGAGGGCCCTGCCCCTGAGGGCTTACAATCTAAAAGGGAGGAGGAAGTGATACATGAGGAGGTAGCTGTGTGGGGATGAATTGTTTGAGAACGTGATGGTTCAGTGGTTAGGTTGAGGTGGGATAGGCTTCCCTGAAGAGATGAGTCTTCCCTGAAAGACAGTCAAGGTGGGAGATAGACGGACAGGTTGGGGTAAAGAGTTCCAGAGGATCGGGGAGACTCTAGAGAAGTCCTATCGCCGCAGATAGTAAAAAGAACCCCAAAAAATGTTACCAATATATTAACAGTAAAAAGGTGTGAAAGGAGCAGATAGGCCCAATAAAGGATGGAAGCGGGAAGCTAGTCACAAACGACAAGGAGAGGGCCGAGGCGCTGAACGCTTTTTTCTCCTCAGTATACACTCAGGAGGGAAACGGGTTTGACACACATGATAAAACTCCCAGTTTAACTCAAAATATACCCCAGTGGTTGACAGAAACCGGGATACAACAAAGACTTAAAATGCTCAATGCAAACAAAGCAGTGGGTCCGGATAACCTGCACCCCAAGGTACTTAAGGAATTAAGCCAGGTTATAACTAGACCATTAATCCTCATTTTTAAGGACTCCTTAATGACTGGTAGGATCCC